CCCCTTCAGATTTTGCACAGCCTGTGTTGCCACCAAATATATCAAATAGACTTGGTATGTGTTGTCTAATTCTGAAAGACATTGTTTCTGGATTGGTATATTTGGCTTTCCAGACTGCTGTCCTTTCTGGTATTGTTGTTATTCATGCTCTGATCTAAGGCCTGTTCAAGAGAGCTGTGTCTCTCTCCTCAAACGGCATGTCAGTGCCAGATTGAGGGCTCAAGGTTAATCTGCATTTTTTTTAACCAGTAATATCGTAGACTGTGGCTGCCCCTGCTTTGGATTATGGGACAGAGCTTAACCAGTCTGGGAATGTGCATCACCTGTTTCCCCTGAGATAGAGCGTCCCATTCTGGTGTGTAACTTTACCCGCTTTTGTTCTTCAAATGACAGTCTATCAGTGATTTCTCAGAAGACTAGTGCTGAATACAGTTGCAGGCAGCAAATGGATGGATATAGCCGAGGGCTTGGAGTGAAAAGTGCTGTCACATGGGAAAATTAAACACTGGTGGTCACAGTAACTCTCTGTCACAGGTTTGCTGCACGCTAGTTTTCCACTGACGTGCAATAATTGAGACGTTAAACATATATCTGCTCTCATCTGCTATTGGTGTGTGTGCACTGTGCATGCTGGGTGATATGTTGGAATCCTTGTTATCAGATTGAACTCTTATCCACCACCGTTACAAGAAAACATCTTTGGACACCTGTTTACTACAAGCCCATATGTGTATACTTGCAGTGACCTGTACATATGACAGGGTACTTGCATTCAACATTCTCTAAGCCACTGAAGCATTTTGGGCTTGTGTGAATTTATAATAGGAATGTGTTGACAAGTGTTTATGTCTTCTAGGGATCAAAGATACTGAGTCCATTCAAGATGATTTATGTGGCATCCAGTTTGCAAGAGTGTGTTAATATTACATAGCGTCTAAGCAAATTGAGCAGCCATAAATATTACAACAAATTATTGTTAAATATTAAATTAAATGTGTAATTATTAATTAACATTAATATTATCGATATCATCCATTTTATTGATGTTATCATTATTAAAGTATTTTATTATTATTATTCAGTTATTTTTAATAGACCTCTTTTTATTATTATTGTTAACAACAGCAAAAATAAGAATAAATTATATAGAATTTAAATAAATGTTAATTAATAATAGAATATTTGTTGAAAGTAATAATATTATTAGTATTTTGACTTATACTAACAGTAGACAATTTAGAGGAAACATTATTTGTGTTTGAATATTGTGATTTGTATGTAGTTGTCGCATTTTAAAGTGGTTTAAAGAGGTCATATGATGCAATTTCAAGTTTTCCTTTCTTTTTGGAGTGTTACAAGCTGTTCGTGAATAGATAAGATCCCTAAAGTTGCAAAGACTAAAGTCTCAAACCTAAAGAGATATTCTTTTAAAAAGTTAAGACTCGTCCACACCCGCCTAAAACGCCTCATTTAAACACGCCCCCACGTCTACGTCACTGTGTGGGAAGATTTGCATAACAACGGCCAAATGTTTGGACTGCTTCCTGAATCTGGGAGAGTAGCCTACAATGCTGTGCACAAAGGTTGTTTCTATAAAGTTGGGGCAGTTCCAACTTTGCAAGGACAGTCTGGCACTTCTGACTCACAGCCTGTAAGTACGTTTTCATATTTAAAGGATTTGCCACTAATGATTCAAACGCGAGTTTTGAGCAGAAACACATTGCATTACACCAAATACACAAAACATTGTTCTTTTTAGCAACGTCATATGACCCCTTTAATGTGATAGATGTATCTGACCTTTGTCCCCACCTTGACCTCACTCCTGGACATGAGCTATCCAGTTCAACCGTTCTCTGGCTCCATTCCTCTGGCTCTCGTTGGATAGTTAAATATAGTGATTAATTGTGTCTGAGAATAGTATCCACCACTTTGGCAGTCTTTCATGTGGTTCTTCATCTCAATTTTAGTGACTGTAGGTAGCCCTTAAATCAGTGCTCTAACAACTGTTTTTAGGTAGTATAAGGCGGGCCATAGAGGAGCAACCATAATGTACAGTATGTGGAAAAGTATTTTTAACCTTAAACTGCATAAACACATTGCATTACACCAAATACACAAAACATTGTTCTTTTTAGCAACGTCATATGACCCCTTTAATGTGATAGATGTATCTGACCTTTGTCCCCACCTTGACCTCACTCCTGGACATGAGCTATCCAGTTCAACCGTTCTCTGGCTCCATTCCTCTGGCTCTCGTTGGATAGTTAAATATAGTGATTAATTGTGTCTGAGAATAGTATCCACCACTTTGGCAGTCTTTCATGTGGTTCTTCATCTCAATTTTAGTGACTGTAGGTAGCCCTTAAATCAGTGCTCTAACAACTGTTTTTAGGTAGTATGTTCATTTTGTTTACCTTGTGTTTATGTTCAGAAGCATACCCCTCTGTTTTTGTAATATGAGACTTGGGCCCGTAGTGTCCTTGGTCATGCTATCGGCAATTGGAAAGCCATCTAAAGCACTCTGTGCCAGCGTGCAAAAGAAGAGCCCTGCTTTGACAATATGTGCAAATATTATGGTGATGTTTCTGAATTTAGAATAAGTAGCTATAATAGTATATGTAGTAATTGTAGTTCAAAAGTTTTGGGTTGGTACGATTGGTTAATGTTTTTGAAAAATTTCTTATGTTTGCAAAGCTGCATTTATTTGATCACAAATACACTAAAACAGTAATATTGTGAAATATTATTGCAATTAAAAATGACTGTTTTAAAGGGGTCATATGATGCGATTTCAAGTTTTTCTTTCTCTTTGGAGTGTTACAAGCTGTTCGTGAATAGATAAGATCCCTAAAGTTGCAAAGACTAAAGTCTCAAACCCAAAGAGATATTCTTTATAATAGTTAAGACTTTGCAATAGATCTCAAATGGAAAAAACTTGCTCTAATAACACGATGAGCTTTGTAAAAATCGACGCATTTCTGAAAGGCGGGGCATAGAGGAGCAGCAATAATGTACAGTATGTGGAAAATAATGTGGTTTTTTTTAACCTTAAACCGCATAAACACATTTCGTTACACCAAATACACAAAAATAATGTTCTTTTTAGCAACATCATATGACCCCTTTAATATATTTTAAAATGTAATTTATTCTTGTGATTGCAATGCAACATTTTCAGCAGCCATTACTCCAGTCTTCAGTGTCACATGATCCTTCAGAAATCATTCTAATATGCTGATTTGGTGAAACATCTCTTCATATTAATGTTGAAAACAGTTGTGCTGCTTAATATTTTTGTGTAAAGTTTTTTTTTCAGAGTTCTTTGAATAGAAATTTCAAAATAACAGCATTTATTTGAAATGGAAATATTTTATAATATTTATAAATGCCTTTACTGTGACCAATTTAAGGCATTATTCCTGAATAAATCTATTAATTTAATCTTTCAAAAAAAATCTCACTGACTCCAAACTTTTTTTTATCCTATACTTCTTTTTGATTGGAACTTTTACTTCCTGGATTGCGCAAATATGTTGATTAGTCTATGCATGCACAATGGAACGCAAATGTTATCTTTAAAAAGAGAAAATGCAGTACAGTGCTTCAGATGTTGCAGTTGTTGAGAACCCTGGCATGGCCCTTGTGCTTTCCTGTAGTGCTTAAACTCCTGCAGCCATAAAGAGACAGAAAAACAGGAACCTGTTTAATCATCAACCACAACTGACCTAGAACTTCCCCAGCAGTTTTAATGAAAAACTTTAACGGGATACGAGTCAGCGTCAAAACTACACGTGTTTCTGTAAAGCGTGTTAATACTTCTTGAAAAAAAACACCAGGGTGAGAACATGTCGGCCCCATTTTTTGCAGGTTTACACTGAGGTTTTGTTTCACTGCTTGATTTACAACTGACTTGAAGCCCTTCCCAAATTTATCAAAAGCAGAAGTGTTGCATAATAACAAAATTACTTTACTGAAGATTGCACCAAAACTTGTTATTGATTCTCAGCTCTGCCACAGCAAATGTGTGCTGATCACAGTGGTTTGGAAATGCTATTTTGGTGTTTCCTTTTGTCAAGTTGACATTATACAGCTCCAGTGTTGTAGTGGGTATTTTTCACAAATCAGTCTAAGAGATACAGCTCTTTTTTTTTTAAAGTTTTGTTTACATGGTGCTGATTTTAGGTGTGAGATAATGACTGTTTCAGTATTTAACTTCTGTACATTTATGGACCATTTACTTTCTGTTTTTTAATCTCTTGCAGGTCTTGCTGTGGGTTTGGGTATTGGAGCTTTGGCAGAAGTGGCAAAGAAAAGCCTGAGATCAGAGGAGAAGAATGGTAAGACAATTGCATTAACTACTAGAATTGAACTGTACGGTTACAATTAGGATCATTACAATGTATTATTAGTTTTTTTTTTTATTCTGGTTCTCATGATAGCACCTGGAGAGACATAGTGTGACCCATTAAAGTATATGCACTGCCGGGTTTAGCACTGCTGAGTGAAACATGTCAGTGAATGAAATGTCACTTTTGTGTTTTGCTCTCAGAACAGCAAAACGTTCCTTAGAACATTTTATTGATTATTGAGATGTTATCTGGCATAGTGTTTTTTTTTGTTGGTTTTCTTTTTGGACTTTAAACCATTTCATTAACAGAGAGATAGTGAGTGAGATTAGAACATTTTATTGATTATTGAGATGTTATCTGGCATAGTGTTTTTTTTGTTGGTTTTCTTTTTGGACTTTAAACCATTTCATTAACAGAGAGATAGTGAGTGAGGAGACAGGAAAGAATTGGAAGGAGATTGTGGGTATTTATGATAAACACATGTGCACTACCTACCAGAACCCACAGCAACCCTGATCTTAACCAGTGTGCATCCTTTATAGCAGTGAAAAGATATTTCCTTTTTTTTTCATCCTATTTTTCAGTACAAGCAGTACTGAAAATCTAGAGTGTGTACAGTATTATTTACTCTTAGACAGGAGAGCACCATTGCTCTTCTGACTGTCTATGTTTGCTTAAATTGGACTGTATGTATAATAATATACACACAGTAACATTTACAGCATGTCCTGATCTAAAGTGCACTTAAATTAGGCTGCTGTCAAGGCTGAGAGGCCATTTTAATGTAGAAATGAGCCATTAAAATATTTATATGCATCTGTGTAATTGGAATGAAAAATGCCAATACATTATTGAAATGTACTCTTCTTAAAAGTTTGTCCTTCATTCTTGAAATGTTTAACCTCGTTCACCGCTTGTGCATGCAAATATGTGCACCCCTCCCATCATCCAGGATCTCTCAGCTCAACTTCAAATCTTCTTATGGAACAGAGAGTGCTTTAGTCGTACATATACACCGCCACTGTTGTTTTGGCATGTTTAAAGGCAACGTGAAACAGCATTTGCAGCATGCCTTTGTTGTGATGGTTTAGAAAGTCATAAAATTTTAATTAAAGATTATAAACCCAAACATATTTTATTTTATTCCTTTATTTTACTTTGCATTCAGAAATCTTCATTAAAGCTTAATAACTCGCCTCTGCAAACTAATTTAATATGATTTAATTTATTTGGTGTCCCTTTTTATTACATTTTTTTTTAATGCTTAATTTATTTTTAGTATTTAGGGTTGTCTTTAAATGCAGTACGTTTTACTTTGTGGATGTTATATTTTGTTTTTGTTTTTTGTTAAAAAGACGGTCTTTGACTTCAGGGCTGTAATAACATGTTCTCAATTTTCAGATTAGTTAAGTTTTTTTCCCCTATAACCAATTCTCAAAATTACTTTGTTAATTTTGAATATTGGGTTAAAAACTTTTCAATTATTTGAAAAGTGTCATTGAAAAATGCTAAAAACATTTCTTGCTTGCAACTAAATGCTCGAAGCTTTGTTCAGCACATTAAGAGAATACTAGATTCCTGTTAAACTGGTCATTTGCAGATATTTCATGGTTTAGCTATCTACAGAGTTGCATTATGTCAGTCTGACTGCATATCGGAACTCGGAGTGTAAATGTGTTCTGAGTACAGCGGCCTGTAACTAGATCTTATCTATGTGTAGACACCCAACGTGCGGGATAATGATTACCTTTGACCTCATCATCACATCCAGGAATAGCACTAATGTCCTCACAAAGATAATGAAGACCCCGATCCAATAGTTTGTGGGGTTTTGTTTACATGGGCAAATGGTTCTCAGCAACACAGACTCTCTTTTTTGTTTCAAATAGCACATACAGTGGTTGTCTGAGATTTTTGGACATCTGTATAAAAAACACGGATCCATTTGTCCCATTAAGCATTACTGTGGTGAATATTTTTGTTTTTTAAAGGAATAGTTTATCCAAAAATATACATTTGCTGAAATTATACTCACCCTCAGGCCATCCAAGATGTAGATGAGTTTGTTTCTTCATCCAAGCAGATTTTGAGAGATTTAGCATTACATCACTTGCTCACCAATGAATTCTCTGCAGTGAATGGGTGCCGTCAGAATGAGACTCCAAACAGCTGATAAAAGCATCACAGTAATCCAAAAGTAATCCACATGAATCCAGTCCTGCATGTTTATAATACACAAATTCTTCAAGATGTTTTTCAATTCAAACCATTGCTTTGGGGCTAAAAATATGAGCCTTCTATCCATAATACTTTCTCCAATAAAAATGTTGTCTCGTCTAAATAAGGAGAGAAATATGCACAGATCAAGCACCATTTATAAGTTAAAATCCAAGTAAGTTCTAAACAAATATGTTGGTGAATTTAAAGTTAAAACGTGTTAATGATAGATTTGTTTCTCACAAACATACAGCTTTTTGCTTCACAAGATGTTAATTAATGGACTGAAGTTGTGTGGATTGTGATTTTTATTTTTTTTTAATAAACCAACTGTTTAAACTTTCATTCTGATGGCACCCATTCACTGCAGGGGATCCATTGATGAGCAAGTGATGTAATGCTAAATTTCCTCAAATCTGTTCAGATGAAACGACAAACTCCTCTACATCTTGGATGGCCTGACAGTCAGGAAATTTTAATTTTTGGGTGAACTATTCCTTTAAGTTGTATATTCAGTCCAAAATGTTGACAGATTCTTGTCATTTCACATAGGTGAAAAGAAGGCAGTTTTGGACAACAGCCCCTTCCTTTCGGAGGCCAATGCGGAGCGTATCGTCAGGACTTTGTGTAAAGTGCGTGGCGCGGCCCTCAAGCTCGGCCAAATGCTCAGTATACAGGGTAAGAGAATGCTGTTTGTACTGTATATAACAAGTCACCACGTTAGACCAGGTCACTCCTCAAGGATTTATTAGGGCCATTGAGGCGTCCTCCATGACTGATAGGATTCATAACCCACGGCTGCTTCCAGTGTTGGGATGGTTGTAAGTCATGGCCGCTCTCAAGTTAGGCTGGTACATGATCGAGGCCTGTTTTGGGTTTACAGCCTGATGATATGAGTGACTGTAATCCTCTTACAGAAAGGTGCAGAGAAATTGGAGATGCGATTTATTTCCTCTCTGATATGCAAATGTCTAAAGATAAAATAACCTCATGCGTTCTTCCTGCGTTATTTTCCACTCAGTGGTGGAAAATGGATGCTAACTTTTCTGCTTGCTGACTGTTTAGGGTCCTCAAACACTACCAGTCTGGACACACTTGAATTAGTTTGTTCTCGTGATCCTAAAGATCTTTTTATCAAAAGAGTTACACCATCTTCTAACCAGTCGAACTGTACTGTAAATAACCTAGATAACAGAGACGATTTGCTTTCCAGTTCATAACTCTTGAAAAGTTGCCTGTTGTTGCCTCACGTCCTTGAATCCTTCTATCTGCATTGACTAGCAACTCAAACATTGTCTGACGACTTCTGTGACAAAAATGGCTCTCTTTTCTGTGCAAATATGTTGATTATTTCTGGTAGGCATGTGAGGTCATTTTCCCCCGCTCTGTGTGCATTAGTGTGTATTGGAAAGCGAGAACAAAAGCATCTGTGTCACCCGATCAAGAATGCAGCACATAGATTATTGTAGCACGGCCTCCCTGCATGACATTTCCAAACCTCGGCCGCTGCTCATGCACTGGACTCATGCACCGCATCATTCTCATTAAGATAGGCAGTATTTTGTAAGCTGCATATCCCTACGACTGGCAATGAAAGACCGCGACAGTGCTGGCATCGGCAAGGCTCAAAATAAGCCCACAGCTATGCCAGAAACGTGACCTATATGCTACACCTCAGGAAGTTTTGAAAGGACAACACACACAATTACCCATCAAGACATGTCCAAACTAAAGTGTTGTTCTAATGTTGGTTATGAACCATATGATTTAGTAAACTTGATTTAGTTTAGAAAACCTGTCCCGTCTGAATAGGGTTTTAGTAGCCCACATTCCTCAGCGACAGTATCAGCTGAGAAAATATGAGGTCATCTGACTAATCTGGGTCAAAGAAGTGAACCAGGATAAAAACCATGGCAACTGTAAAAATAAGCTTTTTTTTTTAATAGTCACTTTTGATGTACATAGAGGCAGTCAAATTGAAAATCTTCGATTCTAGAAGCCTTCAACACTCTAGCAGTTCTGCATTTCACTGGGTTTGGATCAAGCAAGTTGTTGTTTAGCGCTCTCTCTCTCTCTCTCTCTCTCTCTCCCTTTCTTTCATCTCTCTCACTGGCTCAAGACTTGAGTGTTTACAGTGGCGTACATCTGTCACACAGTTAGTTCTTGTGAAACCATCTCTAAAATCCTGTTTACATGTTTGGATTGACTGCACTGCAGCCCAGTAAACATGCAATATGACAACAGATTTATTAAAGAATAAGCAAGATGAAATGCAAGACTATTTTGTATTGCTGGGCATTTGCAAACACTCTTTTTATATAAGAACTTTATGTGAAGCAGAAAAAACAGGCCCCCGTTATACCTGGAATCAGCTTGAGTGATCCAATCATAAGTGGGCAGCATGAAATGCAAAGTGATCCAATCATTCAAACCACATTCAAAGGTCAGGAAAGCATTTGACCACATCACGTTTTTTGTGTAAACACTAATGTGTCCTAAACAACAGCTACTCACAGGGACACCTGCTCACATATCAGCGAACCTTTGCACAAAAATAAGCCCTGAGAGGCCATTTTTTACAGTGATTTTGACCATGTTTATACATGCATCATATTTACCATGTTTATACATCACAGTTTAATCAGAGTTTCTCAATGATTTTTAAAGGATCATGTTACACTGAAAAATATGCTTTGCCATCACAGGAATAAATCACATTTTAAAGTATATTAAACTTTTATTTAAAGGAGACATATTATGCCCCTTTTTACAATATGTAATATAAGTCTCTGGTGGTCCCAGAATGTGTCAGAATGTGTGAAGTTTCAGCTCAAAATACTCCACAGATCATTTATTATAACATTTTGAAAATGCCTATTTTGAGTGGAAGCAGAAACACGCTGTTTTTCGGGCCTGTTTCTTTAAATGCAAATGAGCTGCTGCTCCCCGCCCCCTTTTCCAGAATAGAGCTTGCGCAATTACAGTTTGGACCTGCTAAAAAACATCTGTTTTGGTTCTGATTATCATGTTTATCACGCTGAAATCATGCGTTTTAAACCATATGAGTTAAAACTTCAGATATAAGTTTTTCTGAGCGCAAGAGCGAAATCAGACATGCTCGTTTTTTCAGACGCTTGCAGAAAAAGGCTTACCAAAACAAAGTTACTGGGTTAATCTTTTTCACGTTTCCTTGGTTGGTAGATGCACCGGGGACCTGATTATAGCACTTAAAACCTGGAAAAGCCAGATTTTCATGATATGTCACCTTTAAAATTTCAATTGTAATATTTCACAATATGTATTTGTGATCAAAGAAATGCAGCATTGGTGAGCATAAGAGACTTTTTTTAAAAACATTAAAACTTGATAGTAAATGATTTTGTATCTACACTTTTTATAGTTAACAAGCAGTTTAGCAGTTTGCTGCAATAATAGTTAAAATGCATTGTCACAGGAAACACATTTGATGTTAATGTAATAGCCAATCTTTCTGCTGAGCACTTGTGATCGGATCACCCAGGAAGGATGTTAATACCAGCTATTAACTGGGCCATCATTTTCATTTGGCATTTGTTGTCAACATTGGATGTGTGTTTAATGTTTCAGATGATGCATTCATCAACCCACAGCTGGCCAAGATCTTCGAACGTGTGCGTCAGAGTGCTGACTTCATGCCCATCAAACAGATGATGGTAACGTCTACTTAAACTACAAAATATTTAAATGTTTTACATCTGAAAGTCATATAAATTAATTTTTTTATTTTATTTTTTTTAAATACACATCTGTTGCTTTTTAATCTGTGCAGAAAGCCTTGAACAATGACCTGGGACCGAACTGGAGGGAGAAACTAGATATGTTTGAGGAAAGACCCTTTGCTGCTGCCTCCATTGGTCAGGTGCATCTGGCCAGGATGAAAGACGGTCGAGAGGTCGCCATGAAAATCCAGGTTGGTTGCATCATTCAGAGGAGAACGGTTTCTTTAGCATTTAGCTGAAGCAGCAGTAGTATATTGTTTTGTTTGTGTTAGCAAATTCCACATCAAAATCACAAACAAAACTTTCCTCCTATTATGTGCATGTAAAATGCACTTTTTTTAACAGTATTCTAATAGGTTAATTTGGAGCACCGACTGCTTTAAGTCCAAAGAGCAATAACCGCTAACTGCTTTTGCAAACGATATCGACTTGAATGTTTATGATTGGATAACCTAAGTCTGGCATCTCTCCTCTCTACTTTTTTTAGTAAAACAAACTGTTTTGAAATGTTCTGAAAGCCCCCAAAAATGTGCTCAACAAGGTCAAGGCTGTTTTGCTGGAGGTGTTTTTTTGTTGTCAGCAGTCCATGTCTGACTGCCTGATGCTCTCACCGGTTTGAACGAAATGAACTGCTACTGCATAATGATTTCTGAGCCCAGTGTAACATACTCTTGGTTCCTGCAGTACCCCGGAGTCGCACAGAGCATCAACAGTGACGTGAATAACCTGATGACTGTCCTGAGCATGAGCAACGCCCTTCCTGAAGGTGATCTGAATACACATACATTTGATTTTTGGAATTTTAGACAAATCAATTATTGGATGCATGTGGATGGCATATGTGTCAAAATGTGGGTGCCTCTGGTTATTTCCCGATCCAAATTAGTGTAATGTAATAGAAGCAGACACTGTTATGCAGGTTGCACATCATCTTCTGTCAAGGTTCCTACAGTCACCCTGAAAATATTGATTTTAGAGACGTTTTAGAATCTTAAAAATTAATGCATTTTTTTTTTTTTTTTTTTACAGTAAGTATACACTACCATTTCAAAGTTTGAGTTTTGAAAGCAGTCTCTTAGGCTCATCAAGGCTGCATTTGATAAAAAAAAAAAAAAGAATGCTATTTTGAAATACTATTGCAATTTAAAATAAAAAAAAATTTCTGTTTCAATATTTTAAAATGTAATTTATTCCCGTGATGGCAAAATTGAATTTTCAGCATCATTACTCTAGTCTTCAGTGTCACATGATCCTTCAGAAATCATTTTAACATGATGATTTGGAGCTCAAGAAAAATGTCTTATTCCTATCAATGTTGAAAACAGTTGTGCTGCTTAATATTTTAGTGGAAACAGTCTTTGATGACTAGAAAGTTCAGAAGAACATCATTTATGTGAAATACATTTCTTTACGGTCCCTTGTGATTATTTTAATACAGTAATATTATTTTCTTCAATTGTACTAACCCCAAACTTTGGAAAGGTAGTGTGCATTTTTGTAGGCTCTAAAATATTTTGGCTAGGAATATTTTAAAGGGTTAGTTCACCCAAAAATGAAAATTCTGTCATTAATTACTCACCCTCGTGTTGTTCCAAACCCGTAAGACCTTCGTTCATCTTCGGAACACAATTTAAGATATTTTTGATGAAATCTGAGGGCTCTCTGACCCTCCCATAGACAGCAAGGTAACTACCAAGTTCAAGGTCCAGAAAAGTACCAAGATGATCGACAAAGTAGTCCGTGTGACATCAGTGGTTCAACTGTAAAGTTACGAAGCTACGAAAATACTGTTTTGTTGATCATCTTGGTACTTTTCCGGACCTTGAACGTGGGTGAGTAATTAATGACAGAATTTTCATTTTTGGGTGAACTATCCCTTTTACATGCGTAGTAAGTCGAAATAATAAACTTATGAAATTGCACTGATTTGGAAACTTTCATTGACCCCATTCTTTTCAAGAACATAGTGTCAGTACACTCGGATCTATGTTTAGTGTGTTTCAAACTGAGAACTGGGAGCTCAGGGCCCGTTGAGTCTCAGTGGGCTGATAGATCTCAGGCTGCACGGTGACCAGTCAGAGCCCCAGAGTCACGCACACGAGCAGCGTCAACTGCTGCATGATCAATGCCAGTTAAATGTTCAGCTGTCAGAGAAGCCTAATCCTCCAAACATAGTCTGAACTTTTATTTAAGCTTGTAAATGCCACCATAATGTTGTCGATCCTCCTTTTTGCCAGATACCCAAGATATGTTTTAATGTCTTGCCAACCCTTGTGGAAAAACAAGTACATTTTAGCATACTTTTAAAAAATAAATTATATACTTATGAACTTGTTTTCAGGCACTTAATTGCAATTAAATGTAGTTATTTGAACTTATGAGTGCTTTTTTGACCCACTTAAGTAGGACTTATGTATATCTTTAAATGTAATTTCATAATTTCTTTTACGGTCTTTGAAATATGGTGATGTACTGCCGAATGTACTGACAAGCATTTATAACTAAATTATACTTTAATTTCTATTGAAATTTGTATTGTAATGTATTTAAACATTTTTTTTAAAGCATGACAAAAGATGAATAAACCTAATGACTTCAAATTGTACTTTATAGTAAATCTTAAATTTGACATCATAAAGGGCTCTACATTAAGTGGTTCTTTATTTCAATAATATTATATTATCTGCTAGTACAATTTCTTTTAAATATACTTTTAAGATTTGAAGTACACTACAAGCACACACTCAATACAATTTAAGTGCACTTCTTTTTCAAAAGGGAAGCATAAATTGTGAGTGCCACCTCTTGGTGACACAAATCTTTTTTTTTTTTTTTTAATATGAACTAACCTACTGACTCATGTCTGACTGTGTCTGAATGTGCAGGTCTGTTCCCGGAGCATTTGATAGATGTGATGCGACGTGAGCTGGCACTGGAGTGTGATTACATAAGGGAAGCCAAGTGTGCTCGGAAATTCAAGTGAGTGAACAAAAACAACCGGGAGACATTTTTCTCACTGCTAATTCAGAGCATCCCATCATTCTATACGTTAATCTACCCATCTATAAAATCCCGGGCGGCTGTGGGCTCATAGACGGCCTACAGGACATTTAAGACTGCCATGTGCCGTCGTCGCCGATAGCCTCGTGGGCAGCGCGTCGACATGTAGCGCCATAGCGCTTCGGGCGTCCCGTGTTCGAGTCCCGGCTCGTGGACCTTTCCCGATCCCATTCCCCCTCTCTCCCACTTCGCTTCCTGTCTCACTACTATCCTATCAATAAAAGTCAAAAACGCCAAAAAAAAAATCTTTAAAAGACTGCCATGTGCCTCATACCCAAGCTAAATCTATCCTGTACCATAATGCCTTTGAAAAGAAGGTTTACACACACGAAAATAAACACTATTTTCACTAATAATAAACATTGACAACATGCCCGTACCCTATGTCCTGTCCTCTACTGGGACCCTGACTTTACAGGGAGGGTGAAGAATGAAACACATGTTCAAAGAGAGAGATATAGTTACGTACATGCCTTCAGGGTGAGATGTGTCTTTTACTTTTGAGTAGACCAATGAGACTCTCAGTGTTCAGCAGATAAGCTCTTTTCAAAATGATGTAACACTTTTGTTTCCTGCAAGTATTGACGTAGTGTAAAACACAGCCTTGCACCCGAAAGAGCTGAGGAAATAATCAAACACTTCTTCTAGAATATCCGCTCTTTGTCAGGTAGCCCCATTGATTTTATTGAGTTGGTTCATTTGGACAGTTGCCCTTTAGATTATCTGTGATTTACTGTTGATAACCTCACAGAATCTATATTTCCAATCTATTTGAAAAGTTTTAAATGCAGTTTAACAGTAACTATCCAACTTATCAGTCCTCCGTAGACTTAGATTAGAAAAGAGCAAAAGATTGAAGTCTGGAAACAGTTGCTAATTGGTCAAGTTAGTAAAGCTTTATTTAAAGATTTCTTAAAATGGTGTTTGCAATGTAGTTTTATAGAAAACACGGATGTAATAGAATAATATAAATTGTAAAAATAAAGGCGAGGCTTGAACCGGTTCAGTAAAGATTCATCATTCATTTTAGTCATCATTCAGTAGTGTTTACGTTACTTTCTTATTCAGTATTTTTGTCTTGTTTTCCAGTACAAATATCTAAATGTTCTTAAATCAGTATACATTTATTTGAGATGCAAAAATAATATTTTTGAAGAAATTTGTCAAAACTAAGTGTGTTTTATGTTTAAAACAAAAAAAAAGTCTGCTATTAGAGATAAAAAAAAAATTCCCTTTGAATGAAGTTTAGTTTTCCTAGCCCATTGGTAGATATTTTTCTTACTTTAGGGAATAAATTTGATAATTTCTCAGAAAATAAAACTTTATCTTATGCCATTTTGTGTCTCAAGAAAATATACCATACATTGATTTAAGAATTTCTAAAAATATTGAGGAAGAAAATTACTTTGCAATGCAGAAGTGTGCAGCTAACATACACACACACACACACATACATATATATATATATATATATATAATTTCACCCATTGGTAGATATTTTTCTTACTTTAGGGAATAAATTTGATAATTTCTCAGAAAATAAAACTTTATCTTATGCCATTTTGTGTCTCAAGAAAATATACCATACATTGATTTAAGAATTTCTAAAAATATTGAGGAAGAAAATTACTTTGCAATGCAGAAGTGTGCAGCTAACATACACACACACACACACATACATATATATATATATATATATATATAATTTCATGTAGCTAGATACATTTTCAAATAGCTAGCTTGACTGTATTTCAAAGCTGACGTACCCATTATTACTTGGCAAGCTATAATTTAAAGCTGACGTACCCTCGTTTTAGGCTTCATTGTGGATGTCCTCACACCCAGAGAATGGAGTCTCGGATTTTCCCACATCCCTTTAGAAGCAGACGTGTGTGTGTGTTCATCATCACGCCCTGTCTTTGGTGCACGTGCGGGGTGGCATGCTTTTTCGGAGATGCTGACTTATGCTCAGTGACTCAGAAGCTTTGTGGTTTTTGGCAGGGAACTCCTGAAAGATCATCCCTTCTTCTACGTGCCAGAGGTAATCGACGAACTCAGCAGCCAGCACGTCCTCACCACCGAACTGGTGCCTGGATTTCCCTTGGATCAGGCTGATGGACTTTCACAAGAGTTGAAAAATGAGGTATTCACCAGTGCTGGTAAAACTGGTTTTGCAATGAATTAAATGAAGTGAAACCAGACCATTACATCTACCAGGGTATCTGCAGGATTTTTTAAATCAAATTTGAGGCTTTTTAAGACCTTCACAAATAAAATGAATACTGTATGAGTGGGTTAGGGCAATGTCTATCCATCTACAAACATTCAAAACATTATTTGTAATTGGATTATTAATCGGTTACTACCTTATTGGGCTGGAAAGCATATTTTTAGCTTACTTTCTAGTACTTTCAAGTTCTCCTACTGTTATTTACAGTAATTTGCATATAGCATTTGTTTAGCAAGTTATAGAAGCACATTCAAATTTGGTATTGTATCAGGCCACATTGTATTTATTCTATGATGCCTGAGTCACATGGTCTCAAACGTGGCCAGTATGGAAGCCAGTGAGCTTCCTGAAGTATTATCGCCACCTAGTGGTGGAAGTGTTTTATTGCATTAGTAGGGCAAAGTGTAAACAAGGTCATGTCCATACCAAAACGAAAAAGAAAAAACATTAAGGAATGCAGTTAAAAAAATTTATAAACTGTGCTGATCAAACCATAAATAGAGGAAATGATGCAGACTTACATGAAGGCAATAAATGTGACTGAAATTTTTAAACATACCATACAACTATGATTTAAATGCTCATCAGTTACGTAGTTTGTAAACATTGCAATAGAACAGTCTTTTGTTTTGAGTTAGAACTGATTTATGACATTATACTAAGTACTACATATTAATTAAAGCATAAATACTATGGATTTAAAGCAGTCCAGTGCAGGTGTAGTAACCATACTTGTTATTTTTGCACAGATCTGCGAGAACATCCTCAGCCTGTGTCTGAGGGAGTTGTTTGAGTTCAGATACATGCAGACGGATCCTAACTGGTCCAATTTCTTTTATGATCCACAAACCCACAGGGTAAGAGCTATGTTCACTATCACTGATCTTTCCTGGTTATTTACACTACTGGTTTAGACACACTTGGCTTAATTTGCTTTAAACCTGCTTGAATCCTGGTGTCTTTGAAGAAGCTGAAATATAAGAGTGTTTTGATGTATTAAACATTTGTTTGGTCACGACATAATTCCCTTACTTTCATTTGTTATATCATAGGTTTGAAGACTTCACTGTTAATCTAAAATGTAGAAAATAGGAATTAATAACCTTTGATTGGTGTTGTAGGTAAATACACTACTGATCAAAAGTTTGGGGCCAGTAAGAATTTTTCAAAGAAATGAATACTTTTATTCAGCAAGTATGCATTAAATTGATCAGAATTGACAGTAAAGACATTTATGATATTCCAAAATATTTCTGTTTCAAATAAATGCTGTTCTTTTGAACTTCCTATTCCTCTAAAAAAAATTTAATCCGTTTCCACAAAAATATTACGCAGCAATATAATAATAATTACAATATGAAATGATTTTTGAACAATAAATCGGCATATTAGAATGATTTCTGAAGGATCATGTGATACTAAAGACTGGAGTAATGACTACAGAAAATTCATAATTGCCATCACGAATAAATTGCAGATATTTTAAATGATAATAGTATTTCACAATATTACTGTTAAAAAAAACTTTACATTTATACCATACAACATTTTATCATATAAATTTAACATTTATATTAACTTCCTACCAACCACAAACTTTTGAACCATAGTGTATGTATATATTGATTTTATTTATTGATTTGAGTATTTTGTTACAGTAAATCAAAAGTAAGTATATTGTTTTGGCTTCATCTCTTAGGTGTGTTTTTTTTGTTTGTTTTAATAATCAAGCTGTTCTTCAATCCACAGGTTGCTTTGCTGGACTTTGGTGCAACAAGAGGGTTTGATGAGAGTTTCACTGATGTTTATATTGAGGTAAGACATATAAAATTGAAAGTAAACATTTATTTAAATGGATATTTTATTTCTTTAACTGATTGTATCTTCCTCTTTAAAACAGATCATCAAGGCTGCAGCAGATGGCGATCGGGAAGGAGTGCTGAAGCGATCCATAGATATGAAGTTCTTGACTGGTTACGAGTCTAAGGTAGTATATACCAGATATTTTTGTTTTAAGCTACACATACGACAGTCATGTTAACACAACCTCTTCTCCTCATTCAGGCCATGGTGAACGCCCACGTGGATGCGGTGATGATCCTGGGTGAGGCTTTTGCTGCCAAAGAGCCATTTGACTTTGGATTGCAGAGCACCACGGAGCGCATCCACAACCTCATACCCGTCATGCTGAAACAGCGCCTCATCCCTCCACCCGAAGAAACCTACTCCCTGCACCGCAAAATGGGCGGCTCCTTCCTCATCTGCTCCCGCCTGAATGCTAAGCTATGCTGCAAAAACATGTTTAGAGAGGCCTACAGCAATTACTGGAGCAATAAGAAGAAAGGTCCAAGCCAGTGACACACAGGGCTTTTTAAACAAGAGAAACTTGGATAAGCACAAAATGCTCTGGCCAGTCACTCGAATGTAAACGAACGGCACTTTTGTCTCAACTGACCCAACCGTACCGTCATACATGTTTTTGGCTTTTGTTTTTCCCTTTTGAGTGTGTTAATGGGAAATAATGTCCATGATTATCCATGGTCGTGTGGTGCAAAGAATGCTATTCAAACGAATGTATCTGTGTGCCTACGGAAATTCCTATAACGGGGAAAGTTGGTTACTCATCAGGCGTGGCAATTGGCTGTAGAACATTTCATAACCAAGCCAACAGTTTTTTCCAGGTTGCCGGACCACATTTGTGAGGGCCGTCTCCCTAAATCAGTATAATTAACTCTGATACGTATATTGTTTGAGAAAGCATTACAATGTTTATTTTTCTTATTTCGGTTTGTGAATATTGTGCACAATATTGGCCAAAGTATGATAAAGGGAAGTTCCTGAAAGAAAAGCTCAGTAATCAGCGCAGGTTTTGATGCACCTGCTACAGTCACTTACGTGTTATCAGTGTAGGTTGGCTACAAGCTCGCTTGTTTTAGCTTGTAAAACTACCACAACTACTTGGTCCTAATCCATTTTAAAAAGCTAGGATATTAATGATGGATGAGGGATGACGTCTCTGATGTGTGAGATGTACATGAATTTAAATGTGCCTACATGAAGGTGAGAACTTGAAAGCATTATGGTTTGATATCAGAGCATTGATGAAAAAGGTGTTTTTCTAATGTTCCTGCTATTGGCTTTCTTAAAAAATTGTGATAAAATTGTCTGAATATATAAAATTTTTGGAATCAACACGCCAGTCTTAAATGTTTATTAGCAGGCTTGTTATTTTTGTCCACTTATATGACCATATAACAAATACATTGAATTGTCATTTTCAACGTTTGACAGTTAAAGCATTTGATGCAAGACTGTTTACTTGTACCAGTTTAAGACAGACTGAAGTTTGATCATTGCATTATTATTTGCTGGACACCCAAGAAGACCATGGTACGAGTCATGGAAGAGCACATTAACATGTTCCACAATGTTCACTTGAGATGATGCTACATTGAAGCTGGGGCACACGTAGTTAGGGTTGAAGGTATGGTGCATTGTCACCAGTACTGCTGGTTTATCAGCTGTGAAGACAAACCAAATGATTTTTTCCCCGTAAAGAATAACTTAACATTAGAATTACATTTTAAATCGTCTAAAGTTCAAGATGTTGCAAGTATGAAGGGCTAATGACCTATGAAAGACTAATTTGCAGACTTGAACCATTATTTGTTTCAATGAAACCTGTATATATCATGTTGGTTGATATATTGACATTAACCTTAACAAAAATTAGCTACTTTCCTCTCAAATACAATATTAAGATGTGATGTGAAAACTAGTTGAACATTGTTTTAATTAATAATTACCTGAAATTTTCTTCAGTGCTTCTTCAATGTCAGTTCCAGCTCGTGAGACCACAGGACAGAAGACCAGTATCAACTGACAGTCCCGTAATTCACTTTCTCTAACCCCCTTAAGTTGTGCAAGAATGTGCCTGTCCGTTCCCAAGGTTTGACCGCACACAAGTGGAAGCACTCTAACTGAAGGCTCTGCAAAAAAAAAAAGGGGGGGGGGGGGGGTATGAAAAGTGGGGGCCCAAAATTGTGAGACCACATTGATTTTTAATTTCATTTTAACCTTGAGTTATGACGAGTTTAATTATTAATTGAAATATTTAAGGTTTTTCAATTCAACTTTTTACTCAAATTATGTTTGTAATAAAAACTATTATTTTAGAAAAATGCTAAATGGAAACACTTTCACTAGTGCTTTCTAATTTCAGGACTCCACTGTAATAATGCAAAAATACATTTTTCTAATCTCTTATTCTTACAACAAAGTTAAATTTGAAAAAATGTGGTTTTGAGCACTTGGATGAAAGGGCATGTACTCTAACTCTTACTCACCAAAAGTAGTCTGTATGGTTGGAGGGGTCAAATCTTTTTGGAATGAGCTTGGAAATTTTCTCCTGCTTGATGTTCCCTCTGTATCCCAGTCCTCTTGTCTAGCTGATGCCTCAGTGAAACTGTTCAAGACCTCAATGTACGGTTTCAAAGATGCCTGTGCTGCTTTGAGCTGATCCTCCACTTCTCTAAAAGCTCGAAGGGACTCCTTCAAAACATCCTGTACAGCGGCATCATCTAGGAAAAAGTCGTAAGACTACTATGAAGCATGCCTTTTACAAAGTGAACTCCCTTGGTTCTCTGCTACAACTGAAAATGGTAGATTTGTAAGTCATAAGTAACTCACTGCTTTTGTTTTTGTGCATTAAATGCTCCAGTGCACCGGCAAACGTTTCTGGGCCAGGTCGAAGCGAATCCTTTTAAGAATCAAATAATGAATAATTACAGATGAATACTCAATTATCTATTATATAAACAAATGCAATTTATGGAGCATGCCCATATGCATGCAATTTACTCAATTTACATTGTATTTGGTTTCTGTAACATGACCTTTTACTGTTAAATATATAAGATTACCCCAAAAAGTCACAATATATTAATATTGAAGTATATTCATATTAAATATTTGCACACCTTCTGGTTGTCAAATGTTAGTGGAACATGTTCCACAAGTGATGAACTACCCCCGTTTGAACTTCAGTTTGGAGCAAATGGCCTAAAACATGCATCCAAAATATAGTTTGGTACTTGTTGGTTAGATATGATATCTTGTTATCTAATACCACGAAACTCCCAGGGGTCATCAAACTCGGTCCTGGAGGGCCGTGTCCTGCAGAGTTTAGCTCCAACTTGCCTCACACCTGCCTGGAAGTATACCTAGTACAGGGTTCCTCAAATCTTGCCCTGGAGGGCCAATGCGCTGCAGAGATTAGCTCCAACCCTGATCAAACTCCCCTACATGTGATTTTCTAATGATCCCGAAGACATTGATTAGCATGCTCAGGTGTGTTTGATTTGGGTTAGAGCTAAACTCTGCAGGAAAGTGGATCTCGTGGGCCAGATTTGAGGATCCCTGACCTAGTAAGACCTTGATTAGCTGGTTCAGGTGTGTTTAATTAGGGTTGGAGCTAAACTCTGCAGGAACCGGCCCTCCAGGACCGAGTTTGGTGACCCCTATCCTAAACTTTTAGAAGTAACTTCAGTGTGCAAATATTTTTGGAGGGCCACTTAAGTTCAATTCCACCAGCATCTTGACCAAAGACATTACCTTCACCGTGTCCGTGATAAGCGCCATAATCGTCCTTCTGAGCTGAAAGTTCTTAATACCTGGAAAAAGCTCATTCAGATCCTCTCTGGTCAAAGTAAAGACTTGAGCATCATCAATTCCTACATCTAGAAACAGGTGAACAATGTAGCATGTCACACTGCAAGAGCTTAGTTTAATACATTTATTTTTAACAGGTGTGATAGATAAATGGCATTATAAACATTATCAGGTAACATAGCCTACATACCATCCAAGACAGAAGACTGAGAGATTGCATTGATTTGTTGTAGGAGAGCTCTTCCCTTCTTGAAAGTTTGGAAATAAAGATGGTAACGTTAGTTATATTTTAACCCTGACACAAGCACCCTTTTATATAGACTTCCTTGCCAGCACATACCCATAATATTTGAAGCAACAGTAGTGTGCTTTGTATTATTAATATTAGTTGGTAAATAAAAGATATTAAATGTCTGTTAATTGTACCTTTTCCTTGGTGGACCTCCATGTGTTTGAATTAATCCACATTAGTCCACTGGCAAACCAAGAAGACCCTGCGCTGCTAATTTCTAGTGTATTGAAACCGAAAGTTGATGTAGATCAAACTAAATTGGTTAAATTCTGTATACAGACTGACCCCAGTTCAGTTAAGGTGCATCAACCGCAGCAAGGTGTAACAACAGAGGCGTGTCAAAATCTGATCTAGGACCTGCAGTCACCAGCGATAGGTTGTTGTGGCGTGAAGACCCGCCCCTTTTGGTGTGTTGTGGGAAGAGAGATTTCTCATTGGCTGGCGAGAAATGTGGACGTATTATGTATGACGTGATCTCGCCGAGAGGACGGTAATGTTACAGCGAGTCTTGATTGTTTTGTGAACATTGAGAGTTGAATATGCCTTTCTAAATTTAATGTTTAGGGTATGTCGATGTCATACGGATTGTTTGACGGTTGGATACATCCGCAGAGGGTTTATTTGACGTAGTGCCGTCATGCCTTTTTTTTTTTTTGGGCTGGGCGTATTAGTGGGCAGTGATGGTGGCAGTGGTCTTGAAGACTATGCACTGCAATAAAGGTGCATGTAGGGCTGCATGCAGCTTCAGTGTTTAAATGCAGGGTTAGTCCATGCATTCAAATGTGTTTTATTTTTCAAATTCTTAGTCTTAGTGCAACAGTCTTAGTATCAGCTTGAGGGACATTGGATTAATGAAATACTGAAATTCCACACAGGAGCTTACCTATTTGTTATATAGGTACTATATATATAATATATAATACTGTTATATATTTGTTTTTGATTATGATAAAATAATCACGTAATATAGATAGTAGTAGTGGATCCCTATGCATGCTTCTGTATCTATCACTGATTTTTGTTGAATAGGATCATGGATCAGACCCATTATAACATGTCTGCTACATGTGTACCAAGCAGGAGGAAAATGTCAAAACCAAAACTAAACCCCCAAACACCAGGTAATTATGTATTAATGAAAGATTTACTAAATCGGTAAGTCCTATATGGCTTATTCTGAAGTTGTTGCATTCCCAGATCATGATTAAGTATGAAATGAATTAAAATTACATTAGAGGGCTGGTGTAGAATTATGATCTCTTTTAGAGCTGTTACATTTATATTGTTTTTTTTTTCATTTAAATCTATTATAAATTATTCTAAAAAATTGATTGCAATTTCAACAGATGTCATAAAAGATTTGGGAAGAGAGGCTGAAGGTAGTGGAACGAAACCATCCAAAGTAAGACCAAGCATCCTCAACTTGAGTTATGCATCAATATGCCAGCGGATAAGATATATATTTAGGCAGTTAATAAAATTAAACATGATATCATCAGATTTTATTATTGCATTTGTGTTATTGCATTTCAGAATGAGGGGACAAGCTCTCAGAAAATAAAGAGAACTTACACCAGAAAAAAGTGAGTTTTGTGTTTTCTTGTAAAATGTAAATTTCATTTAATAAATCTTAAATACTGCTTTAGTCTGTTCTCAGAATCTTTTCATAAGGTTTGCCTCTTAAATAGTAACTTATTGCACCATATACTAGATTAATAATGGTGTCAAAATATTAACGTAACATTAGCACACTTCTTAAGGTACCATGACCTCCAGCCTGTGATTATGAGACCAACAGAGGATTTAGATTATGGGTCATCTTGCAGTTCAGTTATCACAGTCAGTGGTTTGGAAAGCCATCACATGCTCACTGACCACACCAGCGGAGTGATGGGGAAAACTGATGGATCCAGTTCAGACACTTTAATAGAGACAGGTAAGTACAGACTTAAATATATTTAAGTAGAATAAATTGATATATGACATTTTAGATTATGTCCAAAAGTTGCACACGTTTTATGCCACAGATTTTAAATTGAAGAAGAAGCAGAAGATGGAGAAAACTGACCAGCCCTCCTTAAAAAAGTACATTGAGGAAGTAAAGCAAACAGGTATGCAATTCTTATATTTTTCTTTAATAATCCGCATGATAAAACATGAAAAGTACAGACTACATCTTTTTCCTTTAACAGTACCTGTTATAGTTCCTGTTGCTCAGTTCAGTCAGAGGAATCAGATAACTGACAGTCACAGCATGCAGGAGCAGAAATCATCTCAGCACACCAAGAAGGAGTCACCTGTTTATCCACCAGGTAAATGATACAGTCATGCAGACCGAATGAAAACAGCACAGACACATTTTTTAAGTATTCATTTGTGGTTCTTTACAGGAAGTCAGGAGGAAAAATGGCAGCTTCAGATCTTGGCAAAGGGTAGAGTAAGCTGCCCAAAATGCAAAAGTGTTGGAAGAAAGACAGTGGATGGGTTAAAGAAGCACCTGGAAACCTGCAAGTTGGTATGTGCATATGGGTTGTTGACGTGACATGGCATTTTCACAGTCCCACAAGATAAAAATGAATATAATTAATATTGTCGTTATTTAAAATGCAGTAAATCATTAAACATTTCTTTGCCCTACATGGACCTGTTGTTATAAAAGCTGCAGTGTTATTTGATTTTTTACATTTCTGAGCCAAATCTCAAAATTGTCCTATGGTGTGACTGTCTCAAGCATGGTTCAGTAGATTACAAGTTTTATAAATTAAAAAAAAAAAAACATAAAAATGTTAATAAATACCTCCGGCATAATTGTACAAGTGTCTATTTTAGTAAATGGCAATCTTTTTTTTTATCCATATATTTCTGAAAGCGTAGGAACTTGATATATTTTGTCTCTGAAAACCATGTCCTATGGTGTGACACCATATCCTGATTTTAAATTGGCCAATTCCAGAACAAAATTACATTAGTTGAAGGATCCCATTCATGATTATGTTACTGAAGCCCCCTGTGAAACCCATGACATGTGCACATGGTCAATTTCTGTCTCAGAATTGTTCAAATATTTTACTTTTTTGGAACCACTAGAAAAGTGTTACGTTTTGTTGTCCTTTGGTATGACACCCTTAAATTATATTTTTTAATTAAAAACTGCATTTTAAACTACATAATCATGGAAAATTATGCAAATGTGTCTTGCTAACCGCTAATGACAGGTTAGCTCGGAATAGCAAGGTCATTAATTGACAGAAAAAGGCTGAAAAGTCCTGTGGTGTGACAGAAAATGTCCTCCGGTGTGACGCCTGTACTGTCACACCAGAGGACAAGGTCTCTTTAAAAAGCATTTTAAATAATTAAATAAGATTTATTTAACTTCCTTTTTATTCTTTTTTTGATCATTTTCAGTGTTCTTAAATGCAATAATTACATTAAATAAACTATTTTCTGATGTTTTTGCAGAAAACTTGTACTGTTATAAAGTGTCATGAAAAGAAGTATAAAATGTGGTCCTTTGTTTTTGAAACAGAAAGAATTGAGGGAGAGAAATTACTGGAAGAGAGAGGACATGGAAATATAGACAGAAAATGAACAGGGATCCACGCAGAAGGGAGGAGATCCTAAGAGAACGATGCAGAAAGTAAATAGAATCAAAATGATGCCTTAAACGGGGCTAGAAATTTTTCAGTAACATACTGATTGACTAAGAGACTAACTTTTGTTGATGAAAATAATTTTTTGTTTTGTTTAAAAATTGTTTGTTTAAAACAACATATTGTTTGTATCAAAATTAAACTTTCTTTCTCCTTTGACATGTTCAAAATTAAATAGAAATAATTTAAGAACTACCATTTCTGTCCTTTAGTGTGACGTAATGTCCTATGTTGTGACACACATAAAAGAACCACAGATTAGTTTTTATCTCAAAATATCTTTAAAAAAAAAACAGTTGAGTATTGTAATGGGGGGATATAAATATCACTCATCTTAAAATTGTATAATTTTCAGCAGGTTTGAACGGATGACAGCAAAGTCTGTCTTGTTGTCAAAGTTTGTCCTGTAATTGTCCAACAAGTCATGGGGGAAAAAATGATGTTAATTATAATTTCATATTAAATAAATAACACTATATGAAAATAAGCATCTAACAATGAAGATAAATCTCTCTCATGCTATTTATATATTATTAAGAGTTTTTTTTCTTAATTTTTGCTATGTCACACCGTAGGACAAATTTATGGTACAGTTCAGTGAAAATGTAAAAAAAACTTTATATTTTCTCAAAGATCAGACTTCACACTACATAAATATATGCATTTCTTCTTTTAAAAAATAAGCATTTTTTACTGCCTATTTGTCAACTACCCATATAGCAATGTTTGTGAAAATATCATAGAGATGTACCAGATTTTTTTAGTACTCGTTTGAATTCTGAACTTGATTTTGTTTTTGTTCTTTGTGTAGAATCCTTTTACATGTACAGACTGTGGGAAACAACTGAAAACTTCAACTGGAATGAAGTACCACCTCATGGCTGACCACAACAAATTGGTTAGTTTTTTTTTCTAAATTGGCAGTGGCATTGACAGTGAAGACGATGGTGTTGATGCAAAGATTTCTTTCTTGTTTGTCTTTTTTCAGTCCATTCCAGATACTGGGAATGACCTAATTGACCAAGCAGTGAAGGAAAAATTGCGGAAAGTACTAAAGAGGATGGGCAAATTAAAATGTTCAAAAGAGGTGTGGTCATATTTTACAATTAAAAGTACTTTGCAAAAAATAATTACTTCACTTTTTTTAATAATTTGATGATGCAGTATGGATGAAACCTTTGTGGAGGTTTAATTATGTGAATTTGTAGTGTAATAACAATAATATTAAAATATATTTTTTATCTGTATAGCTAAAAGTTTAAAAAGAAATTAATACTTTTATTCAACAAGAATACAACATTTGATTGATCAAACGTGACAGTACAGGCATTTATGTTACAAAATATACACCAAAGAATCTTGGGGGGGAAAATGTATGACAGTTTCCACAAAAATATTAAGCAGCAGAACCGTTTTCAACATTGATATTAATAAGAAATGTTTCTTGATCACCAAATCAGCATATTAGAATGATTTCTGAAGGATCATGTGACACTGAATATTGGCTGCTGAAAATTCAGCTTTGCCATAACAGGAATAATTTACATTTTAAATAATTACATATATTAAATATTTAAATATACAATATTTTTGATTAAATAAATGCAGCCTTGGTAAGCATTAGAGACTTATTTCTTACAAAAATATTAAACAATTTTGTAGATCCAAACCTTTACAAAAAACAGTGTAAAAGTGAAAAATAATAAAAGGTAGATGAAATGATAAATCAGTAATAATAATAGTAATAGTAAAATTTTAAACAATGACTGTATTCCATTGCGGATGTTTAGAATTACTGCTGTTATAAATACAGAGTTCTGGCATGAAACTCTAGATGGCGCAGTCCGATAGGTCTAGCTCAATCTGACCTGGTGACATCATTGTCACATAGCAGCTGATTGGCTCTCTCCTGTATTGGTAGCCAATGAGCTCGCCGCTCAGTATTCAAATACCTGGCTTTTGTTTGCTGTAGCAGTTGGCAGCGCACTTCAGAAACCCTCCACCTTCCCCAGCTCCACCTGTATAGATCTGCTACGGGGTGATTCATGTATGCTATATGGGGGTTATTCATATGTGTTATATGTGCAGCAGCAGTATTTCTTACATGCTTACAGCAGCATGTTGTGGATGTTTTGGCAGTAGCAAGTCTCGGTACTTGCTCTGCCGCAGTAGCGTAGCAGATCTATTCCGCCAAGACCAAATACATTAACATTGTCATGTACATTACCATGCCAATCCCTCTTAGAATTGTCATGACAACTCAAATACCTTAAACAATGCTGAATGTTTTGTTTTAGGGTTGCACTGGAACGTTCACTAGTATAATGGGTTATGTGTACCACATGAAGAAATGCGGCAAGGAGCCGTCAGAGCTGGAGAAGCTCTTAATGAACTGCAAACACTGTGGAAAAGCGTATCGTTCCAGAGCGGGCCTGGAGTACCACCTCAAGAATGAGCACAGTCCGGTGAGTCCTCCTCACCTGTGTTCAATTCCCTGTATTAATAAACTTTAAATTAAATGTCTGTTCTGACATAACAGATTCTCATTCAGGCTGTTGATGTTTTCACGAATGAAAGGTCACTATTATCTGTTGTTGCAGACGACCCAAGAAAGTGAAATAGAGGAGGTGAAGACACAGAAAGAGCCCATCCCAGAGCGAACACAAAGCGGACGCGCCAAGCGCTTGTCGGCGCAGGTGGCCGTGTTCCACTTGAAAGAGATCGCCAGTGAGGAGCTGCTGAAGGAATGGCCCAAAAGGAAAGTGCAGCGTGACCTGGTACCAGACGACAGGAAGGTGCTGCAAAACATGTATATGTCAAACTATATCGACATGTTGTAATTGCAGGGCTGTGAAGAAGTCAGAACCTGTGTGAAGCTTTTTGGTAAGGCTGCATCACCTATGTTTGTTTTGCATACTAAGATTTTTATTATTTCTGTTGACGATGGTTGGAATCTTCGAATTTGCAAAAGCACACTTTCGTGGATTCACTAAAAGGTTTTAGTTTCTCTGTCACTTTTTGAGGACTGTGAATGAAGAATCAATCTTGTATTAATTTTTATAGGCATTTATGGTGTTTTGTGTCCATGTAGCTGAAGTATTCTCGTCCAGGGTTGCCGGTTTTTAGCCAGGAGACTCTACGGAAGTGGAAGAATGAAGTCAAACTGCATAAAAAAGTGCAATGTCCTAACAAGGTGTGAACTTCATGCATAAACTGTTATTATTCCAGGTGTTTTTACCATTGTGTTCGAACTTAAAGGGCCATTCATTAATGTTTTACGTATGTTTTGCACTGATTGTAGCATTATGCAAAAGCAAAGATTTTCTGTGAATGAATGGTTTGCTGAATCAATGTGTAATGATCATCTTTGTTGTCAAATTAGGGATGTAACTGCTTCTATACCAGTGTATCTGGCCTAAAGGCTCATCTTGGGCTATGTACCTTGGTAAGAATAATTTCCCTTTGATTTTAAGAACACACAAAATACAGTTAAAATAGTAATATTGTGAAATATTATTACAAGTTAAAATAACTGTTTTATATTTAAATATATTTTAAATAGTGATTTATACCAGTGATGACAAAGCTATATTTTCAGCAGCCATTACTGCAGTCTTCACAAGATCCTTCAGAAATCATTCTAATTTGCTAATTTGATTAATTTAGCTAATAATTCTAATTTGCTAATTTGCTCAGTAAACCTTATTTATTGGTTGCTTAATATGGAAACTGTAACACTTTTTAGGATTCCTTAAAGGGTTAGTTCACCCAAAAATGAAAATTAGGCTGCGTTTTACTCACCCCGGAGGCATCCTAGGTGAATATACATTTCAAAAGAATACTATTTATTTGAAATAGAAATCTTTTGTAAGATTATGAATGTCTTAACTGTCACTTTAGATTAGTTTAATGCGTCCTTGCAGAATAAAAGTATTAATGTCTTTGAGAAAATTATACTGACCCCAAACTTTTGAGTGGTGTAGTGTAGTTTAACCATAAAAGATATTCATCTGTATAGTATACAGTATATTGTGAAACGAAATAACTATAGCCGTGTTATTAGTACCTAAATCAATACGTTTCTACGGTTCTCTAATATTGATTTTTCTTGTTTAATGCACATAATTGGATTTGCTCTGGAACAGGATACAGTTGTGGAAAAGATGGTTAATCTTTTTTTTTCTCTCTCTCTCTCTGCAGGGAGAATTTGAAACTGGGAAATTTAAATGCTTGATATGTAAGAAAGAATTCAACTCTGAAAGTGGAGTCAAGTACCACATTAATTCCATTCATTCTCAGGTAACACTGTCATTTTTTATTTTATTTCATTTTATGCTCTTTATATATCATAAAAATATACATTTTAGAGGAAACATTCTCACTCTTATTATTTTTCATAGGACTGGTTTGTTGTTCGGTCCAAATCTAAGAGTTCAAAGTTTGATAAACTGCATAAGACTCATCCAAAGGAAGATTCCATGAGGTGTCCAGACCTTCCCTCACCAAACCCAGGCCTCAGTTTTCCCCAAGTACCCAGCGCCTGGCAGGATAGACAGACGTCAGCGGTGCCCTTATCAAGTGGAACAGCAACCCCAGGAAGAGTGGAAATAAAGAGGAAGGAAGGGCCAAACAAACAGAAAGAGAAGGAAAGCAGACAGGAGAAAGACTGCTATGAGTTCAGCGGCAGTGACAGTCCCAGCAGCAGCAGCAGCAGTAGTGAGAGCTCCAGCAGCGAGTCAGAGGCCGAGGACTCAGCGGCACACAGACATGACGAATGGGCCCTCAGCAGGCCCCTCACGAAGCCTGTGTCCAGCCAGCAACCCGGAAGTGATTCATAAACCATGTCTGCTCCTTTTCCAAATATCTAGTTTTTCCAATGTTCACCTCCAAAGATTAAAGAGATAGACTACCATTCAAAAGTTTTGGGTCGGTAAGATTTTATTGGATTTGAAAGATGTCTCTCACACTCACCAAGGCTCCATTTATTTGTTAAAAAATACAATAAAAACTGTAAAATTGTAAAAGATTATTACAATTTAAAATAACTGCTTTCTATTTTAATATATTTTAAAATGTAGTTTATTCCTGTGATGGCTTAGCTGAATTTTCAGCATTATTACTCCAGTCTTTAGTGTCACATGATCCTTCAGAAATCATTCAGATATGCTGATTTGGTGCTCAAAAACATTTCATATTATTATCAACACTAAAAACATTGCTGCTTAATATTTTATTGGAAACAATGATACTTTCCACAATTTTTTTTTGATGAATAGAAAGTCAAAAAATAATTAAAAAAACAGCGAAATGTCTTTACTTTTGATCAGTGTAATGCATCCTTGCTGAATAGTGTTTTTTTTTTTTTTTAATGCTAGTGTATATATTTGTAGGATATGCAGAATTGTGCTTCCCTTTTTATTGACAAGTACTGCATATATAGAAAGGCCACTTGCAAACATTTTAAAATGTCTTTGAAAGTAATATCACAATTTTACTTGAATTTGATTTCATTTTAGGAATAAAATATAAGCAATGTATATTGAATGTCGAGCATTATGTTTATTTTTCTGTACGCTATGCTCTGTACCTTTAAGTTTCACTGTGGACCAGTGACCGACATTATTAAAACAGTTGCATGTAACAATGTTCATGAATGCTGCTATTTTTTTTTTCTTTGCGATATCAAGTGTGATTCTGACACCACAAAAATGATGCTCTGTAATAGTTGAATTTGTGACAGTGATCTATGCTGCGTAAGCCTTTAGTATGAAGGTACAGAATACGTGTTCGTGGTTGACGGAGAGAAAATGAGTTTGTTGAAACGCATTTACCAGCTGTTGTCTTGATTTGAATTAAAATGTCTATTGAGGTCTTTGTTCATTTTTTTTTTTTACACAAATTCACATATTCCTTTATGATAACAAAACATGGACATTAAAATAAATATGCACAAAGTAGAAATAGCTTACAAATGTAAAATCAGTCCTCTTTCCACGTTGTAAATGAGAAAAATGACAATAAAGTACTCTACTCTGCTTGGCCACATTGATACCACCTCGTGGTCAGGCGGGATCACGCACAGATTTAAAAAGCTCTCTGGCGGCAGTGCTGGATAGGGGACGGTAGTGAGTACGCGAGCGTTACAACATGGTGGCGACGGCAAGCTGATGTCAAAAATGCTTTAGCCGAAAAGTGTCGTGGAAATTAGCAAATTTCTGAACAGCACGAGTGAAAATAATCGTTTTAATTGAAATCGGGAACGAACACATTGCACCTGGCTGGGATCTGATTGCGTGAGTATTTCCTTGTGTCGAGTGAGTTGGATTCGAACCCGCGTGAATCTTATACTGTGCGGTTGAATGAAAGAGTGACCGATCATCCTGAGCCACTGTTTAAAAACACATCGAGTCGGAGAAAAAGCCCATGTCTTTCCTGTGCTTTCCTAGCCTAGAAACAAGTCTTTTGAGACTATTATAAAGTTGAATTTTAGAAGATACGTTACTGGTCTTGGAAGGAACCTATCTCAAGGCAGTAACTTATATGTTTATTTTAAAAACCGTTTTATGTTGAGTGGAAGCTTTCTACAACGTAATGTCAAATGTATTTATTATTTATTTTGCAGCAGGAGATTGAATTACTTGAGGAATTGTTGTTCAGCAAAACTGAGTGAGCTCAATGTGCTGTAGGCAAGTCGCCTGTCATCGCTACTTTGCGCATGCGTGGATTTACTACGTACTTTACTACTATTCTTGTATCACACTACCACAGAGAAGTGCCAACAAAACCCAGTAGCCCCTCACTGCAGAAAAAGATCCAGGGGGCGAGGTTGGATTCAGATCCAACTCCTCCCAACTTACATATACCTAAACCTACCCGTCTCCACCCCTGATCCCTAAACCCACCCATCTCCACCCCTAAACCTACCATCTCCACCCCCTAGATGTGGATCCAACCCTGCCCCCTGGATCTTGTGTTCTGCAGTGAGGACCATCTCAACAAAACTGTTGCATGATGTCGTGATAATACTATGATTTTTGTTTTGGATACGGATCTTTTGACTTTGTAATATGGAAATTGTTTGAATTCTGTTTTGAACACGCTTATGTCTAGGAGAATATATATTTATAGACATTTGTATATAAAATCAACATTTTTCTTTACTTCTAGACTGTGCTGGCAGCAGTTCTGCGGAAGAACAGGTATTAATGGTAGCTGCTGCCCTGAAGTTGGGCGAGCAGAAAGGCGAAAAAATGGGTTTGCCATGTGAAAAAGACACTGATGACCAATCGGCACAGATTAACCTTGAGAGTAAAGGAGCCACTAAGGATTCAGGTGAAGTTCTTGACTCTTCAGAGCCGCAGAAGATGGAGTTAGAGATGCAAATGCCTGGCAAGTGGCCAAAGACCAATTCTGATACAGTGCTGCATTAGTATCATTAAGATACTATTATCATTTTTAATATTTTGGATGAGTTTTTTTTAAAAATATTTTTTCATTTTAGTTAAAGTTTCAGTAATTTTTTTGTGTTTTTGTCATTTTTTCCAAATATGTCTAATCAGAAATGCATCTAATTCCCACATTATTCTTTGAAACTTTTTTTATTGTGTCTGGCTTTCTTAGGACACACACCTAGCTCTGAGGGTCCCCCAGGCGTGAACCAGGAAACCCCAGTCAATACAGAGGGAACCCAAAAGAAGCAAGCACCGAAGGCAAAGACTCCCGCCAAAAGGAGAAGAAAGGAGATCGTTTCACAGACTCCACCACAACATGACAATTCAGCAGCCTCTGATACTTCTGAACTCACTTCTAGTGGTCGGCCCAAGAGGAGAGCTGCGAAAGTGTATGTTCTCCAGTTGTATGCAGTTTCCCCAAATCCATACAGCATGCTGAATGCAAAATGTACAATCACTTGCAATAAAACTGGTTGTTAAACAGCAGTCACATGCAGAAAAAAAAACAATTGCAGTGTTAACATATTTAGAAGACATTACTACTTTATTTAGTTTGTAAATTGCAATATTTATTATATCTCCTGAAAACAATGCATTGCAGTCCTGCAGCAGAGTGAGTAATCTTTCTCCAGAATAATCAATGGTCAGATGACATGTTCTGATCAGGACTTGAACTTACAACAATCATAACGTTGAGCTACTCACAAAGTGGCTTTTTTTTTTTTTTTTTTTTTTTAAATCAGAAGCAAAACATGGATGGAAATAGAAAACTCACATTCGCTAAACAGTTTTTGCACTTTTGCACACAGCATTTCAACACAAAAACTTGATATATTTCATTAGGATGCGATTTGTTCTGATCAGCTGTTTCTGTGGGGGCAGTCGTGGGCTAAAGGTTAGAGAGTCGGACTTGTAATGCAAAGGTTTTGGGTTCAAGTCTCGGTAGCGGCAGGGATTGTAGGTGGGGGGAGTGAATGTACAGCTCTCTCTTCCACCTTTTAATACCACGACTGAGGTGAGACCCTTGAGCAAGGCACCGAACCCCCAACTGGGCACTGCCCAGAGTGACCCACTGCTCCAGGTGTGTGTTTGTGTGTTCACTACTCACTACGGTGTGTGTGCACTTGGATGGGTTAAATGCAGAGCACAAATTCCAAGTATGCAACACTGTACTTGGCTTCTCGTCACTCTCCATTTTAAATTTTGTAATGATGTTGTTAATAATCAGTTTTTCTTTTCCATCTTGATTAGTGCTTTAGATTATCTCCACAACCTTGCCAAGGATCTTGGTGCTCCATCAGAATCCTCCATGAAAGATACATCCAAATCTGGTGAAGTAGATGGCACTGACCAGAAAAAGAAAACGCCAAGGAGAAGGGGGGTGAAAAGAAAAATTCCAGATTATGAAAGCGACTTGGATGACGATGAGGACTTTTCCCCAGGAAAAAACGAAGAGGCAGAGAGTGAAGATGAAGAAGAAGATTCAGAGCCAGACCTCAGCTTGAACGTGGAGCGCAGATTATCCAGACCACCCAGAGGAAATTATGCAAGTTTATAATCCGATACTTACTAAACCTTTTGCACTGTTGGATGATTTTGACATTAATTTCCATATCTGTGTTGTCTAATTTTTTAATTGTGTTATGCTCGGTAGCAGTGTCTGCTTCCAAATGGATTGGCTAACAATGTCATGGAGCCTGTTTGGAACTGTTTTAGTAGGACCAAAAAATTGTAAGCCATCCACCGATGATGTAAAATATAACAATTCATATTATCTGTATCACTTGTGTCTTGATAATGCTTGCCCTTCTTTTACCGAATGCTCTTGCTAGCCGGGATGAAAACTTTTCCCCCTGGGTATTTCCAGAGTGGATTCCTTTTGCCAAAGATTGGCATTTTCTGTCTAACAGGTATCAGTGTAGCTAAATACCTCATAATATTAATGGAATCAAAAAATTCTTAATTTTAACAGTCGTTTTGTTTCAATTAACAGTGAGGCTGAAAAATATTTGCCCCAAGAGAAAGAATCCGCTTCTTTTACCTTTACACGGGAAAGCATCAAGGGACAGATCAAACTGCAAACAGTGAAGAGGTAAGATATCATTAGTTTACGATTAATTTCAACTAGTACTGACCTAAAACATTTATTTGAAGTACCCACTGAGACTTAATATTTGAATAATTTAACAACACATTCATGTTTCTCATGATTCTCTACAGTTCATAGTTAACTATTTCAACAAATAGAATAATTATAAATATATTGCTTTTTTAATAAACAGTTATTTTTAATTAATTTAATTATTAGCTTCAACTCACAAACCCCTTGCAGTTCATACCTCAGTTAGGGAAACCCTCAGATAGTAGATTAAAAACTTTTCAGTCTTTTTTAAAATGTATTTATTTTTTGCAAAGCACACTACCATTCAAAAGTTTGGGGTTGGCAAGATTTTTTAAATGTTTTTAGTCTCTTACACTCACCAAGGCTGCATTTATTTGATAAAAAATACATTAAAAACAGTCCTTTTATGAAATATTACAAATGTATTTTAAAATGTAATTTACTCCAGTCTTCAGTGTCACATGATCCTTCAGAAATCATTCTAATATGCTGATTTGGTGCTCACGAAACATTTATTATTATTATCCATGTTGAAAAAAAATTTCACTGCATAATATTTATGTGGAAACCGTGATATAAAATTTTTTGTCAGGATTCTTAGATGAATGGAAAGTTAAAAAGAGCATTTATTTTAAATGGAAATCTAAATAATGCATAATAAAAAAAATAAAAATTTACCGATCCCAAATTTTTGAACAGTAGTGTATGTGTACTCATATCACATCATTCTGAGCGCTGGGATGCTCTTTTCTTTGTGGGGGGTCCTGTGCGGTCCTTGGAATGGTGCCCATGTCCTGACGGGGCAGCCACAAGACAGTATGCTGCCATCTACTGCCACAAAGGCATGGATGACGAACACAAAATCAACAAACTGCACACAGGCCCTGTCTTACTGCAGCTATGGGAAATCGGAGACCTTCAGTGCAAAAGCAGGTGACCCAGATAAGACACTTACAGATCGGCTTTAAGAGGAAATGTTGGGTTTTACAATAAAATAGTAATTTTTGACTTTATTTCCCCTCGTCAGGCCCTCGACTGCTCCTCATCTAGCGTATGCTTTGGCGATAGATTACGGATGCATCTGGAATATAAGGTGGTGTCCTGCGGGAGTGTGGGAGCTGCCCTCTACCAGCAGAAAGGTATGAAATGACATTAGACCAAAAGGTTTAAGAATATTCATAGAGAGAACAATTTTATTAAACAACTGTATTAAAATTATGCAAAACAGAACGTTTTTTGTGTGTGTGTGTGTGTGTACATGTATTTTGTTTTTTTCTCAGGCTCCACAGATGCCTAGATTAGGTGTTTTAGCAGCAGCTTTCTCTAATGGAAGAATTGGTGTCTACAGTCTTCCACACCCAGAAGCCCTTGCAGCACACCATCAGAGTAAAGGTGAGTAAATGGTGAAAGTCATAACCTATGCTTCTTATTTCTTTAGTAAGGTTATATTTTTTAGCATTCAGGTCCACTTGAAGTGGATGTTCCAAAGACAGTCAAAGTTTCGTTTTTCCATGACTATTTTCACTCTCTGTCTCTTTGACACTTGAGGCTGTTTTTTAGAACAGATATGTCCAATCCTGCTCCTGGAAAGCCACCTTCCTGCAGAGTTGAGCTCCAACATCGATCAAACACACCTGGACCAGCTTATCAAGGTGTTAAGGGTTACTTGATAATTACAGGCAGGTGTGTCTGAGCAGGGTTGGACCTGAAGTCTGCAGGATGGTAGCTCTGTAGGGGTGGGGTTCCCTGCTCTGCTGGAATATGGTCACTCCTAATTTAGAAACTCCCAGTGAATTCATGTGCAATGTGTTGGTCCTTCCAGAAGAGGGCAGCACAAGACAGAAGAGCCTCAAGCCAAGTACTATAATGCATTTTTCCCATTACCACTAAACAAATGCTAATCTGTCTTGTATGATGTCTTTGCTTAATTTTCACAAATATTGGAAAACATAGTTTAAAACAGAACACACTGAATTTCCTAAAATTATTTGGAAGATTAACTGTTTAGCTGCTTTTGTTTATTTATTTATTTATGAATAATAAAACAAATAATAATAATTATTAATAATTAATCATTGTATTCATTATTATTATTGTTATTATTAAATGAATGAATAGATTCATTGGTTAAATCAAATGATTATAACAACAATAAAAATAATTATTAATCATTCATTAATTTAATAATAATAATTACAAATAATGATTAGTAATATGTAGCTATTAGTACAAATAATGATTAGTAATACAATAGCTATTATTATTTATTATATAATAATAATAATAATAATAATAAATATTATTATTATTGAATGAATGAATAGATGAATCAATCAAATCAAATGATCATAACAAGAACAATTATAATTCATTCATTCATTTAATAATAATAATATATATGTTCCTTCTCACTGACCTCAGACCTGCTCTTTGGCTTTTATAGCATGTGCGTTTTGCTTGTTTTTTATTTTTTTCACTTGTTTTTTTTTATTTTTTTTTTATTATTTTTTGTTTGTGTTGTCTTATTGGTATTTGTTTCTTTTGTTTATGTATTTTTATTTAGTTTTTTATTGTCTTTTTATTTAGTTTTTGCTTATCCTCTTATTTATTAATATTTTGTCAATATTTGTTGTGCATATGAATGTAAAGGAACATGTTTTTTTTATTTTTGATTGTTTAACTTTTTGTTTGTTTTATTAATTTTCTTTAATTTAGCTTTTTTTTTTATTCATTTTTGTTTATTATACATTTTTATTGTATAGTTGTCTTTAATTTTGTTTTTTATTGCTTTTTTGTTTTTGTTTAATTTTTTGTTGTGTCGTCTTTCCGTTGAATTTTTAGGTTTAGGCTTTTGTTAATTTATATTATTCTTCTAATTTCCTGCAAATCACCATATTGTATAGAGCACATGTGCATTCATTTGAACATTTTTGTACTGTAGATTGATTATTGGTTTGTTTATTGATTGAAAAGAACCCACAGTAGCAATTATATGAAGTTTCAAAAGACCATATTCCCACTTCCCATTATGTTCTCAGGTCTGGAGGTTTTATGGTAGATAATTATAAATAGGTTTTATCTGAAGTGAAAGGGTGTCCCGTGAAGAGGTGACAAGAGAGACGCAGACTCCTCCCTTGTCAATGGCGATAATTTACTGGCTTGTTTTCATCAGACAAGGATCTATAATTGAAATGACAAAAAAGATGCATCGCTACGCAGTTGTTAGTGTTTGAGGCCATGAATTTCAGCCGAATACCTGACACCCGTTTCCTCCGGGCCTGTCAATTAAAAAGACCTTAGTCAGTCCAGAAAAAGGGCCCCTGGTCAGGGCTGTCTGCCATTTCAGAATGAGTGGATCAGAGGTACGATGCTTTATCGACCTGATCGACCCGTCACCGCTCTGTACGGCTCCGATCTAAAGCCATGAAAATATATATCACTTTCACACTCTTATACACACAGTGTCTGTCCACAGTCACACACACTTTCATACACGTGATTCTATTCACCACCTCTAGCACTTCACTTTTGTTTTATATTGTCAGTTTATTGAGAATATGAATCCCTGTTTAAAGAACTTTGAAATTCTTTTGTCTGTTTTTTTTTTTTTTTTTTTTTTTTTCTGGAAAATATTAAATGAAGTTCAAATACATTTTTATCATTGGATAGTTTGCCAAGTAGGAATGGTTCATAATTATTTGTTTATTTATTTAGTGGTGTTGCTTTATTTAGCAGAGTGCTTTAAGCAGTTTGCACTCAAGGATTTAAATTTTTTTTATTTATTTATGTAAATTCATCCCCTTAAAAGCCATACAGATAAACACAGACATCTGATTCAGACTTCCAGATTTTGCAGTGTTTGTAGGAAATCTGTTAGTTCTAATCTATGCGGTAATGTGCTGTTACTCAATTTGCATGTGAAGAGAACAATTTACACAAAAGTCTTAAAGCAACAGTAGCAAAAACAGCCCATTTAATTCTAATGGTCCAAGAGGGAGAGTGGAAAATGGTCATTAGCTAAATCATGACTCTTTCTAATGCAAAAATAAATAAAAAAATAATAATAATAATAAACTCCGGTATAAGATCAAATGTACTGTGAATGATCCCTTTAAATGATGACATTAAGCTGAACTGCTGCTTGTTTACACTTCAGTTTATTTCAAATAAGCACGTGTCATTTGATCCTTGTTCCTTTGATTGTTTTTCTTGATAAATGCAGACATGTGTTGACTAGTAATGCTCCTATCTATAAGTGCACGGCATTGAACACATTTATGTGCTTTCCAATAGGAGAAACCAGCCAAGCACCGCTGATATGCCGGGTAGGTCAATATCCACTCTGCTAGCATGCCTCTTATTCTCACAGATAAGACTTCTGTCTTTGTTTCATTCCACACAATAAATGACGTATTACACATTCATTGCATTAGACTGAAAGCATCTGACTTGAATGGCAACAGATCATTGGAATGTTTGCTTGAATCTGACGTGTAATTTTCACTGTAGCTCAATTTCACAGTTGAAGTGACTTTTCACTAAAACTGTTCTTTGTATGGCTCCTCTGGGCCGTTTTACGGGCTGTCTACGTAACGTTTTCACACATCCAAGAGATGATCTTCTGGAAATTAGCTGTCATGGTAGAAGGGGCTCCTCAAACGAAATGTTAAGCCCAGAGAGGAGGATTAATGTAAACTTTTTTGGATGATGGCAGAACTAAATAGCTATTGACTATTGAGCAAATGTTAAATTGTGATTATCATGAAATCCTTTATTATTAATTTCATTACTTTATTTATTCATAGGAATTATATATTATAATTAGTGCATATAGACATAAAGAAAGTGTGTATTTTATATATATATATATATATATATATATAATAAATTGCATTA